ATGCTAGGTGAGTCCTTTAAAGCCATGACATCTGGCCTGGGGGCCGCAGGGATAGGGGCCATCTGGGGAGGGGACATATGGGCCTTTGTGGACCACACAGCTCTGCCCATTCGTTCACACTTGCTCACTTGCAGATAGATGCATGTGCCCGCCCACACCCCCTCTGTCCATCTGTCCTTCTGCCACACCTGTGCACCTCCTCTCAGCTCAGCTGTCCTCCCGCACTCTCAGAGAAGGCACCGGCCACCCCTCAGTGAACCCGCCAGCTGACTCCCGCGGACTAACCTAACTCCCCGGTCATTTTGGGGGCACTCCTTAGCTCCTTTGGGGGCACTCCTGCTCCTGGAAGGCTGGGACTGGATCATGATCATTAGAGTTACCATTTGTTGAACCATTTCCTGAGTTCTAGGCATTGTCTACATTCTGGAATTTAATCCGCACGAGAGCATTTTGCTGAAAAGGAACAAGGCTCAACAGGGGGAAGGTTGGCACCAGGTTTTGTCGCCCGCTACCCCGCAGGAGCTCCACGTGGCTTGTCTGCAGCCGTGTCACGGGCCCCCAACCCTCTCCGGCTCACAGAAGATGTGCAGAATGAGTTTGCGGAATCAGTGAGAGGGTTCGGGCCACCCCATCACTGGTGGCAGGGCCAGGGTGGGATCCTAGGTCTGTCTGATCCCAGTTCTGTTCCAGGTTCTTCTATTTGCTTTCACGTTCTTGCAAATAATAAACATCGGTCTTGAATGGATGAGTAAATGATCAAATGAGTGAATGAAACACGCCTCCACAAATTTAAATGGTGGTGGCCTCCACAAATTTAAACTCCTGCCCAAGGATAAGCTAACCAAGTTTCCAGACTCAGGGTACGGGTTTCCCCACCAGGGTAGCATCTTCCAGTGCCTCTGCTCCCAGCGAGTGAGTGCGGCCATCTATCTGCCTCTGATTCTGTGGGCTCCTCTGAGACCCAGGCGTCCAAACTATTCGAAGCCCGCATTTTTTAAGCTGCTCTGGAGCCTTTTCTTCCCCTTAGGCACAGAAAGCCAATTTTATTTTGCCAGGAAAGTAAAGACAGTTTCTGGAAGACTCACGTTTCCTCTAAGGAAAACCTGTAACTCAGGTTTGTTGAGGAGGCCTGTTGTTCAAGGGGTCTCAGCTTTGGCTGCCCAGTAGAATCACCTGGAGAATTTAAAAGATGCTGGTGCCCAGCATCTAATTCAGTTGGTTGGGAGGGGGGCCCAGACGTCAGTAATTGTCACAAAGCTTCTCTGTGTGATTTTTTTAAAGGTTTATTTATTTATTTTCAGAGAGAGAGAGAGAGCAAGAGAAAGAGAGGGAGTTCACGAGTGGGTGAGGGGCAGAGAGAGGAGAGACAGAATTCCAAGTGGGACTGGAACTCACAAACTGTGAGAACACGACCTGAGCCAAAATCAAGGGTCTGGACGCTTAACCGACCGAGCCCCCCAGGGGCCCCTCTGCGTGATTCTCATGAGCAGGTTGAGAACCCTGTTTTGTTGATGGGCCTGCAGGTTACATTCTCTGTACCTCGTATTTCTCTTCTGGAGGGAGGGAGTGAAGAGAAAAAGGAGGGAACGGAAGAGGGGCGGGGAGGGGTGGGAGAGAGAGAGACAGAGATACAGACAGGCAGAGAGATGGTCGACTACCGCCGGTCTATCCACTGTGGGCGTGTGAACTTTTGCCTTTAGCGTGACCTTCTTTTGCGTGAACTACTGTGGGGAAGGACGGATGGCGAAGCTGCCTCTGGCCTGTATCGCTGGTGTGCGCGTATCAATCAGCCACTTTCTGAAAGGACCGCTGGCCGAGAGCAAAAGGCCCTGCAGGACGAGACAAAGGGAAGCTAGGTTCCCGCGTGGAAAGTGGCTGGTTGCCCTGGACGGTGTCAAAGGGTGAGGACTCCCCCAGGTCGGAGGAGGAGCTGCTGAGAGGTGGAGTGAGGGCGCGGGGGAGGCTGACCCTCTGTCCTTCCTGGGTCCTCTTGCTTTAGAAGGTGGATTCTTGAATTTAGCAAGTGAGGTGGTGAGCACGTGTCCCTGATCCAACAGTCTGCTCTGAGCTAACCAGGCCTGAGTGCCAGGCCTCAGGGGCAGGCATGGCCTGGGGAATGAGCCAGGAGCCGCAGGAACTGGGAGGGTTGAAAGGCCCGTGCCGGGGGTGATCACGGAGGCCTCCCAGAAGAGGTGACATTGGAGCTGGGCCTTGAAGGGTGTTGACAGTTTGCAGCCTCTGAGTGTGGAGTGCTGTGGAGGGCAGGCAGGGACCAGTTCTGGGTGCCCTCGAAGCTCCCTCCGCTCCCGATACTTGTCACACTTTATTGGGACTGTGCATTCAATGCTGCCTCAGTTGCTACACTATAAGCCCCCCACACAAGGCACCACGTGCAAGGAGTCCGCACTGTGCTGCTGAGGCCCGGGATGAGGCTGTTTACAGCAGGCACTCACTAAGGAATGAATGATCGGGGTGCAGACGGCTCTGCCTTACCAAGCTGTTCCCTCTTCCTCAGAAACAATTCTGCTTTCTTTGTCTTCCCCGGTCTGCGGTTTCATCGGTTGGTCTTCCTTGACGTTTGGTTAGACCCTAATGACGTTGATTAGCCATGAGCAGCCGGTCATTTTGCGTGTGATTCTGTTTACTGTTTCTTCACCGTAGATTGTGTGAGAGACCCCGCTCTTCTCAAACCTCATCTGTGTTTTATTTGTTTTCCTTACTCTAACCCCGCTATTCTCAAACCTCATTTGTATTTTATTTGTTTTCCTTACTCTAAAATAGGATATGCCGTATTGTAGGGGAGTGCATGTCAGTAAGGGACGGTTCCAGAATGTCACAAACTGAACACAGCCATGTTCCCAAGCACCCAGAAACATAACTGACCGGCGTCCCAGAAACTCCTACTGTGTCCCCTCCCGTTCAGTACCCGCATCCCCACCCTGGCTGCACCCTTCCTGACTTCTAACACCTTAGGTTACTTTGGCCCGTTATAGTTTGTGCGAGCGGAATCAGACAGAAAGTCCTGACTTCCTCAGGTTCGGTGTTCACTTCCTTCTCATAAGATTGTACGTGAGGGGTCCATCCACAGACAGCTGGTGGTTTTGTAATATTCCATTTTATGAACGTATCATGATCGATCCATGCTACTATTGATGGATATATGAGTGTTCTCCAATTTGAGATTATTGTGATTAATGCTGCTGGGAACATTCTAGAACATGCGTTTTGGTGAACATACGTACACATGTCTACTGAGTAAATACCCAGGAGTGGACTTGCTAGGGCGCGGGATATGCACGCCTTTAGCTTTTAGATGAGAAACGTTTATTGTCATCTCAGTTTCTGGACCAAGGGATTCGTAAGCTCAGCAACATGAGAGTTTTGGACTGGACAATTCTTTGCTGTCGGAGGCCGTCCTGCCCGTGAAAGGACGTGAAGGCTGTCCCGTGCGTTGTAGGATGTCCCTGGCTGCTGTCCTCCAGATGCCAGTAACACAGCCTCCGGACTTTTCCTGTTATTTCCATCTTCTCTCTAGGACCAGGCATGCAGGTGGCACTCAAGAGATTTTTGTCACACTGAAAATTTTTGTTATTGCTTTAAAAAGACAGCCTGGAGTGGGAAGACCTCCCCGATGGTTTCCTGGCCCAGGGCAGGATGGTGTCGAGCAGGCCCAAACGATGCAGGGCAGGGGCCAGGGGTGGGGCGGCCCAAGGCCGGCTTCCGTCAACGTGCGCTTTCGGGGGGCTGGCCTGTGGGCAAGGCCTCGGTCACCCTGTGTGACGACACCGTCTTCCCCGGTCCCCTCTCCTCCTCTGGGCAGGCGTGGCGTCCTGCACCTTCACGAGAGCGGCGGGATCCACGACATCGGCCTGCCGCAGTGGCAGCTCTTGCTGTGTCTGATGGTCGTCGTTGTCATCCTGTTTTTTAGCCTCTGGAAAGGAGTGAAGACATCAGGAAAGGTAATACCTTTCTTTCTCTTTCAGTTCGGAGGTTGGCCGGAAAACAACAATTATTTTCTAGCTATGATTAGCTGGTTGGTGAAAAGAAAAGGCGGACGTAGAAGGACAGAGCCTGGGTCTGCCCCCACCCCAGCTCTGCCGCTGGCTAACCGGGAGACCCCAGACAAGTCCCTCCCCTTCCCCAAGCCCAAGGCTCCCCAGCAGTAGGGTGGGGGGGGCGTGCATCAGGGCTCCCACATTCAAGCCAAAGCTCCCCGATAGCAGAGACCAGGGAATGGGACACCACAAGGGGCTCAGAAAAGGCCTAAAGCAACCTATTGACGTGTGATTGATAAATCATGAATTCTGGCCCCAAACTTGATGCAAACTTGCATCCTTCTCTGGAACATAACCATTTCCTTCACTGTAAAAATCGGTGTGTGTAGTCTGGCACAGTGCTGAGTGCCCACAGGGGTCTAGGTTTCCTGGGGAGAGGGGCACAGGGTAAAATGACGTAGGAGGGCCACGGGAGTTGGCCTTTTGTCCTGGGTGACCCTTCCTCCTGTCCCCTGTATTCAGTTCCTCGGGGTGGAGTGTATCCGCTTCATGATCCATGTTGATTCTGAGCCTGGGGAGCATCATGAGAACAACAACCCCGTTTGGGCCCCGTGGGGTCCACGTGGAACTTCACTGTACCAAAGAGGCTGTAGTTGAAAAACCCTCTTTCCCACGTTTTGATTGGCAATTGCTGTGTAACAACACACCCCAAGATGCCGTGATGTACAGTAACCATTTTGTTATGTCTCATGACCCTGTGGGTTGACTGAGATCAGTTCGGTGGGTCTGCTGCCCCACGTGATACTGCCTGGCTGCATATCTGGGGGTTCGGCTGAGCTGGAGCGTCCAAGACGGTGCGTGCTCATGGACGGCAGCTGGTACTGGCTGGGAGCCCAGCTGGAGCCGTCAACCAGAGCATCTTGGGCTGTTTCCACGTAGCCTCTCCAAGCGGTCTGGGCTCCTCACAGCATGGCACCGAGTTCCAAGAGCAAGTTCCAAGCAGACAAGCCCCAATGTGCAAGTAGCTCTTCCGGCCTCTGCTTGCATCATGCTTGCCATTGGCCCGGTAGCCAAGATAAGTGTTGTGGGAAAGCCCAGCGTCGGTAACGGAGGGGACTGACACCGGTGTGGGTTCACTGGGGGTCACGAGGCAGCAATCTACCATAATCAGGCAGGTGGGGATTTGTGAGAAGCTTCGTTAGGCGAGTGATGTGGAAAGTGGCGTGCATCAGGGTATTCCTGAGGCCTTGGTATCCTAGAGTCCTTGGTATCCCTGGTATTCCTAGAGTCCTTGGTAATGCCATTGAGAGCAGAGATAATGGCAGGGGTCCAGCAGCCAGTAGGGATGAAATCTGTCAAGAAAGGCTTGACGTGGAGCTTTCTATCAGCATGTTGGAGACCCAGTGTCTGCCCCAAGGAGGAACCCAAATAAAATGCAGACCGGAGCTGGGAGCAATTCCGAGGTAGGGCAAAACCAGGCTAGGACCACTACCATCCTGACACCCGGCACATAGTAGGTCTTCAATAAATACTAATTGAAGGATTCATGAGCAAAGGAGGTTAAGTAGGCAGAAAGAGAGAAGGATGGGTGGATAAATAAGTTGGGGAACCTCATTAAGTGTTCTTTCGAATTCAGTACAACTTACTAAGCATTTATGAACACCTACTATGTGCCAGGCTTGATGCTAGTGATGCAAGAATAGACCAGACAGATTCCTTCTCCAGGTGCTTATGGTCTTATGTGTGTTACGGACAGACATAGGTCAACCAGTGCCACTAGTTTCTTGAGTCTTCATCCCGAGACATGTGTGTGTCCCCTCTAAATAAACAGTGACGGTCACAAACTGTGCACACTATTCTATGTCCTGGTTTTATGTTTGTTTGCTTGCTTTTGCTTTTTGTCTTTTTTACTGTACCGTGGAGATACCTTCACATCCGGGAGTCAAGATGCATTTTAGTTGAAATACAAACTGGATTTTTCAGCTGTCCTTATATCGATTTAGCAGGTCACCACAGTTTTTTAACAAGAAAATGGCCTAGATCGTAACAGAATGCATTGCACGTAGTAAAGGAAGAGCTGGCTGGCTTGCAGAATTTGGATTTCAGCCCTAGCGAGCCACACGTTGGTGTGGATTGCGTCTCGGTGTTCAAGATTTTTTCTTACCGTGAGTGGTCAAAAAAGTGAGAGATGCTGCATCAGAATGAGCTCTTGGAACCTGACAGGGGCCGTAAAGACCACGAGAAAGGGACATTTGGCCCAGGTCTCTAAGGACAGGAGCAGGTAGGGATGGGACAGAGGGAAGGGGTTTTCAGTGGAAGGAACTGCCTGAGTAAAGCCACAGAGGCGCGGAAGCCTGGGCCAGCCTTGTCCAGCCTCTCTGCACCTTTCCTGGGTATCAGGAGAAGGGCTCTCCCGGCCTCTGCGGGTGGCAGAATTGCGAGATGCATGATCTTTCCCACTGCTTCTGGCCTGAGCCTGAGGCCACCACAGCCTCTAACATTGCATCCCAAGGTTAAGTGCCCGACAGCCATCGCTGAAGTTGGTACAGCTGGCCCCACCTAGGGTAGCACTTGCTGGGAGCAGAGTGTGAGTTGTCTGCAGGGAGCCGGATGATAAGAAAGAGCACAGCTGAGCCCGCTCAGTTCCTCCGCACCTCCTTTAAGGAGGTAGGCCCTCCCCTTCAGAGTGTAATGAGTTGGGCGGGGAGGGGGGGATATTGCCCTAGGGAAACCCTCCACCCCACATTTTGCGTAAATCCCCCCCAGCGTTCTGGCTTCTGGTGGCTGAAAGGGAAAAGGCCCCTGGCATTCCGTGGGGAGGGAGCGTTCCAGAATGGGAAGCTTCACTCAGGACGTTCCTGTGCCCCGTCTTGAATTGCTTTTATAAACTAGCTCATGAGAAAATCAAGAGCGTTGCGTGTATCTGCCCAGACTACATCTGGAACGGGACGGAGCTGTTCTTAGCAGGCTTCCACAGCCACAGAGACGGCCCAAAATGAGTTGCAAATGTTCACACTTCCTGTCTTGGCAAGTGAAGGCTCTGTGTCTGGGAGGAGTTGTGACTCCATGGGACAGCTATGGTGGTGGGGGGGCAGGGCACGGTCTGAATCAGGGAGAGGGGCTGCCCCAGATCACACACACACTGACCTTGGCCCATTGACCACCTCGGGGTAGAGGGCAGAGGCTTGAGTGGGGAGTTGGCCCCCAGGGAGTCACTCTGGAAGCACGGGCACTGTTGTTGGCAATCCTGGAGTCCTGCCTGCCCTCCCGCCCCCCCATCTCATGAGTCCTCAGTTGAACTGGCTCTTAAACCATAAGCCCAGTCACCGAGCCCCCTAAATGTCAGACCAGAAGGCACCTTCAGGCCATCTACTCCAACCTGCTTGGACACACGGGGAAGCTGAGGCCTGGAGGGGGACAGGATTTCACCGCAGTCTCTCGCGTGGCTAAGACTTGATCCTGGGTCCCATGTATACACTGGAGTGAGTGATCGACAACATGGCTTTTTGGCCAGACCACCTGGGTTGGAGTCCGGGCGCCATCATTTCCTGCTGGGTGACCCCGGAATTAATGCCGCTCTCTACTGATATATTTGTGCCAACCTCCAGGGCCACTGGGAGGATGGAGGAGAGGTCCTTGGTACCACGCTGGCAGATGGAAATCGATCAATAAATGATCTCCATCCTGCCTTTGTCTCCTTCCCCAGCACCCCTTCCAGTGCTCTTTACCCGCCTCAGAGGACTAAAGGCTCTGTAGACTCTGTGTGCATTGGAGGGAGGCGCGGGCTCAGGCTCCCACCTGCTCTGTTTACATATTGTACTAAGTGTTCAGACATCTTGGGCTCCCCTAGGCCTGGAGATAAATCAAGACAACAGAACTGGCTGGGCGTGGCCACCATGCTCTGCCCACTGGACTGCCAGGCTATGGGCTGTTTGGGCGGACGGAAAGAGACAGAACACCCCTCAAATTCTGGCAGAGTGTGGTGGGGTTGGGGAGAAAACTGGACCGATTAATAAAAAGCCACCCGAGTTTTAGAATTTTTATTTTTAGGAATTTTTAAATTTTTAATATTTCTTTTTGAGAGAAAGAGAGGGGCAGGGGGAGAGGAGAGGGGTAGGGAGAGAGAGACACACAGAATCCAAAGCAGGCGGTAAGCTCTGAGCCGTCAGCACAGAGCCTGACTCCGGGCTCGAACTCACGAATCACGAGATCATAACCTGAGCTGAAGTTGGATGCTTAACCAACTGAGCCACCCAGGCACCCTGAGTTTTAGAATTTTTAAGTAGAAAGGTCATTTTGTTACTTGGAAGTTTCAAGTCATAACTTTTTTAAGTTTACTTATTTATTTTGAGAGAGAGGGAGAGAGAGAGAAAGCAAGAGCTAGGGAGGGGCAGAGAGAGAATCCCAAGCAGGCTCCGTGCTGCCAGTGAGGAGACCAATGCGGGGCTCAAACCCCCCAAACCGTGGGATCACGACCTGAGCTAAAACCAAGAGCTGGACGCTTAACCAACTGAGCTACCCAGGCACCTGCCCCCCTGGTCATTATTCAGCCAAGTCTTCACACTAATGGTTCAATACAAGCTGTTCCTCACTTGCTTTAGTGACTCGACTGGACCCAGTATAATGGAGAATATCATTTGCATAGGAGCAATGAATGTGCTACAGTTTTTATACCCTGGTGTTTTCTCATGTAACATCAGTACATACTCCTCACCTCATGAACCTTGTAGGTCTTCATTATTAGTGCAACTGTCCCTAAAGCCCAGTTCGGAGGGTCACACATTCGGAATCAGTAGAGGCTAAATCAGTGCAGTGTTGTGTGACAAAGCACGGACATTTCTCATCTCTGTGTTAGAGTAGACTTCAGTGGTGACCCCGAGCAGTGCTTCTCAACCTTTAGTGCCCATAAGAATCACAGGGTGGGCTTGTCAAAACCCAGATTTCTGGGTGTCTCCTTGGGAGTCTGACTCCTTGAGGGTGGGGTGGGAGTTTGCATTTATGACAAGTTCCCAGGCAATGCTGATGTCTGTGGTTCATGGGCCTCACCTTGATGTAGGCAATCCTTTGCCCCATGCCTGGCTCTCTGGCAAGATTTGCACACCTTCAATAACAGGGACCGTGCCGTCTCCCTGGGAAGCTCATTCTCTCTTTAGAGAGATCCAGTCATTAGAAAGTTCTTCCTTTTATAGAGCAAAGATCTTCATTGTGATTATCAACCATTGGTTTGAGTTTGGCAGCCTGGAGCCAGACAAATTCTAGCCCCTATGCGTAGAAGCACAAGGTGGGTGAGAAGCTGGATTTGAGGCAGTGGAAAGCAGCGGCTTCCCTTGGGGACTGAGGACACTTCGCCCAAACAATGGGCTGCTTGTCTGTCTTTTCATCTCCTGGTCCCAGATGGACCAAGTCTGGCTTCTTGTGGCCAGAGATGCACTGCCAGTTAAAATTTGGAGAGCAGAGATGACAGAGCTCAGGGTACAGACTGGGCACATGATAGAATGAGCTCGCAGTTGGCCAAGGATCTTTTCACACAAGATTTTAGGCAGCTGAACTCACTACCACCTTCCATTCTGAGAACTTTCAATAAAATTCAGATGGTTTCACTTTGAATACATATGCATGGACAAGAGAAGTTCCCCTTTCTTGATGCTTGACTGCAGTCAGGGTTACAGCTCAGTCATGTCCCCATGGTCCTTGTGTCCTGATAGGTTCCAAATTAAATCCATGTTGGAGCACTCAGACTAATGAGTGCTGCCTGCACATCCCCTGGGAGGTGCCTTGGAGTCACACCAAGGATGTTTTTTGATGCGTGGAGTATGGTCTCACCTGGCCTGCAGCTGTGGACGTGAAGTGTAGGGGAACACAGCAGTTAGGACCAACGCAAGGATGTGTGAGGGCTCCTCCTGTGCCTGTCACCAAGGAGTTAGACCCATTTGTTCCAGTTTAGGGGAATAAATCCAGGATTAATGCGGAGCCACCCAGATGGAATGGTTTCACTTTCCAAGGCATGTCTCCCTCCTTATTTGTTTTTGGCAATTTGTCCTCCCGTTCCTGCACTTTTGAAAGAGAATGGAGACCTAAATCCTATATCCACAAAGACCACCCCCCCCCCCATAGAATCAGGGAACAATGGAGGAACGGCTGGATAACATGAAACAAGATGCTGATTCCTCTTCTGGTTCCCTCAGAAGACATGACCAACCACTGATGCGTTTAGTTATTCCCTGCTCAGTTGCTCATTCATTCACTTGCTCCTTCTTTCATTTGTTCTTTGACTAACTCGGTCATCCACTGACCCTCAGAATCATCACTGACTCACTCATCCATCTACTCACCCATATGCTGAATAATTCACTTACCTAACCACACGTCTACCCAACTATATATCCAACCATCCAACCATCCAATAATTCATCTATACAACTGCCCGATCATCCATCCATCCATCCATCCATCCACCCATTCCATCATTCATCCGTACCACTGTCCAGTCATCCATCCATCAATCCAACAAATGTTTTTTTAAGCATTCATGTATGCCATGTGCTGGGGGTACAAACTTGAAAAATATAGGGATTTTGCTTCCAAGGAGCTCCTGGTCTACCAGGAAAGACAGACAGAGAAGATAAATCCCGGTCCTTCAATGTCGGTATGGAAAACAGAATTTTGTTTTGCATATCTCAGTTTTTGGGTTGAGCCCATTATCTTTCTAGGCCAGCAAAGAACTTAACCTGTGGTCATGTTTCAGGGCTTCCATATTCTCCCCAGGAGTGTGTGAAGACTCTGGGGACTGCATAGTGCCAGGGCTTGGGGAGGAGGGGCTCTCTGGTTCTTACGTCATGTGGCCTCTTTTGTTTCAGCTGGGTCTTCTTGGGTCCTGCCTAACCCAGCCCTGAGCACATTTCACAGTCTTCTTTCTCTAAGGCTCTCCATGGCTGCACCTGCCTATAGCAGTGATTTTTAAACCTTGACTGCACATTGACATCACGCGGGGGGAGAGGGGGAACTTATAAAACATACTAAAGTACAGGCCACACTCCAAGCCAATTAAATCAGAAACCCCAAGAATGGGATCTGAACTTTGACATTTTTAACAATAACTTCCCCCCAGAGTATTCTGATGCGTAGTCAGGGGTGAGAAGGGACAGTGAGGTTTGTCGTCGTCCTAAATCTGTCCCGAGATAAAGAACGGCCAGAGAGCCTTCTTTCTGCTCAGCCACATCTCCCTTCTCGGGCAGTGAGTTGGGAGGAGATGTTTGAATGAAGAAAGAGGAGCCGGAGAGAGGCGGGAGGGAGGAAGGGAGGAGGGAAGGAGGGAGGAGGGAGCAAGGGTGGAGAGCATTGGACGTGGGTGCGCTTAGATCTGCCTGGGGCAACTTGAAGGGGTCAGTAGAGGCCGCTCATCAAAGAGGAAGCACCGGGTACCGTGAGAACCTAGTCTTCGTCCCGGCTGCCCCCGCTCCACGGCCGTGCTACCCCGGTGTGCGGACTCTCCCACTTGGTCCTGAGCCGCGGGAGTGGCCTCATCCAGAGAGGGGGCTTGTGACACGCGTGAAGGAAAGAGTGGGGAGGGCATGGCCGGCCCCCTGGGCGAGAGCCTGACCCCCACCCCACCCCCAGCGCCCGCGTGGCGGCGGAGCCCGGCTCTCACAGCAAGCTTGTCCGCCGCCAGGTGGTGTGGATCACGGCCACGCTGCCCTACCTCGTGCTGTTTGTGCTCCTGGTCCATGGCATCACGCTGCCTGGCGCCTCCAACGGCATCAACGCCTACCTGCACATCGACTTCTACCGCCTGAGAGAGGCCACGGTCAGTGACGAGGGACCACGCACCCGTGGGTCAGGGTTGGGGAGGGGTCTCAGCGTGGGCAGCCGTAGGCACCCTGGTCCAAGGTCTGCCATAAACTTGTGGTATAGCCTGGGATGGAGGGTAGACCCTTCCCTCTCCCTGCTGCTGCTTCTCCGTCTGACCGACGCCCATTTGATTCGCCCCTGCTGGTCTCCTAGCTGTGATGGCCCGGGATTCTGTGGCTCCATGTGGTGTTCTGTGCAGAACTTTCCAAAGGGAGGCAATGCTCTGTCCCGGGTCCTGACACCTGCTCTGGCCTCCTAGCCCACCGCAGCCACCCCAGCCTTAATTCCCGCCTCCAGCCCCCAGCCCTGCCTCTGCTGCCATCCCATGATGTCAGCAGAAGCAGCAGCTGCAGCCACAGGGCGCTCTGGACCCCGCTGACTCTCCCCCACCCTGCCACAGCCTCCTCCAGCTCACTGTCCTACCCAGAGACACAGACTAAGCGAAGATGGGGTGAACGCGGAGTGGAGTCCGCAGCAGTGGAACGAGGCTGGGATCAGAGTGTTGGAGGTATCCGGTGCCTTGAGCACATTCCAGCCGCGGCTGAGATCATCTCCCCCTCCTCCCTGAGGCCGGCCTCAGGGACAGCAGCTCAGCATTGCCCCTCACTCTTCCCAAAGGCTTCTTCACACTCTGTCTGAACCCACAGCGATCCTGGCAGGTGGGAGCCACATAGGCTTAGGAGGGACGCAGCTTAGACTCACCTCCCATAGTGACGACGCTCCAACACACCACAGTGTTACGGTCCAATAACCAAGAGGGAAACCTATTTCCTTAGTAAGTGTCAGAAAGATGACAGAGCTTAAGACCCGAACCAGTCTTGTAAATTGTGAAGCAAGCCGGCGTTCGGTTTGTTCTGCACCCGTTTAAATATCTTGTCTTCGTGACGCGTAGACGCTGAGCCCATATGCTGTCTCAGGGAGCAGACCCGATCTCCTCCATCAGATTGCATCTCTTGTTACACCTTCGGCTTGCAGAGTAGGGGAAGCCTAGGAGACGTGAGGGAGGTCCAACCCGCATGCAGATCTCTGCCCGAGTGAGCTGCGTGTAATTCCCCCCCCCACCAGCCCCCGACCCCGTGCGGGTGAGGAAACTGGTATATAAAGAGGTGAAAATGACCAGGGCTAGAAGTTGGAGGGGGGCTCAGATCTCCGGGGTTCCAGCCATGTGCTTCCATCACCCAAAAGATGGGAAAAGTAACTCCACTGGCCCCCCGAGGAAGTCACCGCGGCCTGCGGGCTGGTTTTGAGACAGTAGGAGTCCCTGTCTCTTTTCTGAAGATGCCGTCTCTGTAACTCCTGAGATGTTCATACCCTTTGCCCTCACTCCATCCACATTCTAGCCTAGAACTGTGAGTTTATAAACTTTCTTTGGAAGTCAGGACATCAAACTGAACCAGTGAGTTCCTCCAGGGTGAGCTCATTCGTGGCCACCGAAGGCCGGAGCTGCTAGAGGGACCGCAGGCCTCTCTCCAAGGTCGCTTTGTGCAAGTTTCGGGGGAGTGGCGTGGCTGCCCGTCGCTGGTTCCGACCTCGTTTCCTCAGGTCTCCAGAGCATCCCTGGGGCCCGCCAGCCATCCCGGAGCAGTGAGGTGGTGCTGTTCTGTAGGCAGCAGAGGGTGATGGCTTTTGTCTGCCTGTTTCAGGTGTGGATCGATGCGGCGACCCAGATATTTTTTTCCTTGGGGGCTGGATTTGGAGTCCTGATTGCATTTGCCAGTTACAACAAATTTGACAACAACTGTTACAGGTAAGATCCTTGGTGGGGCTCTGGAAAACTCTAGACCTGGGGACCGACTCCTGCAGGGGTGGGAAAGAGGGTTCCGGTCTGGGGCGAGTCCACTCTTCTTCCTCTGTCAAATGAGGCAGAGTGGACCTTCCACGAACTGCAGAGTGGGTGACCTCTGACATGGCCTAAGGGGGTCCTAACGAATGCATTTTAATTCAGGACACCTCTTCAACAGGCAAGGTGGGTGCTGGGAAAAGTGAGGCCACAAGACCTGGGAGGTCATGGGGACGGGTAGTTGGGGCAGAGGAGCACCGTGTGCCTTTCAAGAGCAGACAACACCGTCCGGACACCCAGACAGGCAAGGACTGGTCACATGGGAGGTGCGGGTCTGGCAGGGTCAGAGGTAAGGCTGCAGGGTGGACAGAGAACTCTGTGTAGGACCCCAGAGTCAAAAGGCCACGTTCCACGTTCTACCTCGGTTCTAGGTCAGCAGTTAACATTGCCTCCCCTGGGCCCAGTGCCGTGACAGTCTCGGACTTGGGCACAAATTGGGCTGGGTCCCGTCACCCGGCGAAGGCTTAAGACAGAATCACGCTGGGGCACCTGGGTGGCTCAGTCGGTTAAACATCACCAACAGTGTGGAGCCTGCTTGGGATTCTCTCTCTCCCTCTCTCTCTGCCCCTCCCCTGCACACTCACTCTCCCCCTCAAATGAATAAACATTAAAAAAATAAAAGAGACGCCTGTGTGGCTCAGTCAGTTAAGTGTCCGACTCTCAATCTCGGCTCAGGTCGTAATCTCATGGTGCGTGAGTTTGAGTCCCGTGTCGGGCTCTGCACTGACAGTGCAGGCTGCTTGGGGTTCCCTCTCTCCCCCTCTCTCTCTGCTCCTCCCCTGCTCGAGCTCTTTCTCTCTCAAAAATAAATAAGTAAGCATTTTTCTAAAAGACAGAAGCACACCATCCTCTGGTGCGTGACAAAGTGGGATGGATGCATGCCAGTGGGCAGGCTGTAGGCAGGCCAGGGAAGTGGGGTGGTCGGCAAGAGCATGGGGGGAGTGTGAGGTGAGCCTTGCAAGATGGCTGGGGATTGTGATGGAGGGACACAGAGTGGAGGGCACGCGTGGTGGGGAGACGCCTGAGCGAAGCCAGGGAGGTGCTGTGTTCGTGGGCCAGCAAGTCGACTGGTATGTTTTGTCCTAAGACTGCATCATGGAAAGGAAGGCAGGCTGGAAGGTTGGGTCACTTTTTCTTGAAGCTTATTTATTTATTTTGGTAGAGAGAGAGAGAGAGAGAGAGAGAGA